CAGTGAGGCCTGTGTGACACAGCTTAAGAGAGTATGCCTAGGTGAGTAGGCTATTTGGAATACAATATAACAGGATAAGGTAGGAGATGGAAAAGTGAGGCAAGATTATTTTGGAATATTAGAAGAGTTAAAGAAGTAAAATCCTAGGTTACTTTTGCTGTTAGAAGATAAGATAGGGACAGATCTAAATGTGAAGGAATGTACTGCATAGCTTTCTCAGCCAAGGTTTTTCTGAAAGTTGCAAAAAAAAATGCTTAATAGAATGTCTTAAAACATGGTACACATGCAGGTACCCTGTTCTTCAGAACAGTAGGACAGACAATGACAAAAAGAACAGGGTGTGGAAGTAGGAACAGAGAAAATGGACCTAAGAAAGGTTTTTATTTCTTTTTTAAATTTTTTTTAACGTTTATTTATTTTTGAGACAGAGAGAGACAGAGCATGAACGGGGCAGGGTCAGAGACAGGGAGACACAGAATCTGAAACAGGCTCCAGGCTCTGAGCCATCAGCACACAGCCTGATGTGGGGCTTGAACTCACGAACTGCAAGATCATGACCTGAGCCAAAGTCGGACGCTCAACCGACTGAGCCACCCAGGTGCCCCAAGGTTTTTATTTCTAATGCACAGGTCAAAGATGATTGTTCTGAAGTCAAATGAGCAAGGGGAGAAAGAACATTTTACTCTAACATTTCCTGTCTATCTTTCAGTCAAGAAAATCCAACAATAAAAACAAAAAAAAATCATAATTTTAATTTTTTTCATCTCAGATCCCACCTAGTACATCAGAAGCTTCCAAGGTAGAACTAACAAGGACAAATCCAATTCCAAGCCAATGCCTGATAAGACACCAGTGCTAGTTTTTTTTTAAGTTTACTTGTTTATTTTGAGAGAGAGAGAGCACATGCAAGCAAGCAGAGTAAGAGAGAGAGAGAGAATCCCAAGCAGGCTTCATGTTGTCAGCGCAGAGCCTGACTTGGGGCTCAATTCCATGAGCCATGAGATCATGATGTGAGCCAAAATTAAGAGTCAGATGCTTAGCCAACTGAGCCATCCAGGTGCTAAATTATCAGATGAAAGCCATCACCAACAAAAACCAGCTCCTAACTATGTGCCTCTGATGCTAATGAGTTCAAAAAGAACAATTATTTCTCTCAGTTCTCTGAATGTGGTTTTGAGGAGGGGGCGCCTGGGTAGCTCAGTTGGTTAAGCATCTGATTCTTGATTTCACCTCAGGTCATGATCTCACAGATCGTGAGATAGAGCCCTGCATTGGGCTTTGTGCTGACAGCATGGCACCTACTTGGGATTCTCTCTCTCTCCCTCTCTCTGCCTCTCCCCTCTGCTCGTACACACACTCTCTCTCAAAAAATAAAAGATAAAAAATAAAAATTAATTAATTAATTAACAAACTTAAAAAATTTTACCTTGAACGTGGTTTTGAGGAAATAGAATAAAGTAATAGTAATAGTAATAAAATGAACAGCTGGGAGGAGGACAGCCAGCATGAAAAACAGCAGCTGAAAAGGTTCACATGTGTATACACACAAATAAGGATCATCCTATTTCATATACCAAAACTGAGACATTTTTATAGAATAGTGGCTGTGAAAAGCTAATCATGATGAACTTCAACACTTTAAAAGGGACAGATATCAACTTTACCTTTTAACTTGTATTCTGTGAGGTAAGTTCACAAATTACACATCACACTGGTAAAACTTCCCTAACTGATAAGCTGATGGTTAAAACAATAAAATTCTCTTTATCGGTTTATCACCTTCCAAAAAAGAGGGTTCTTTTGGCTAACAGTTTTCTGCTTCAGCTTCCATCCAGAATTTTATGTTTTTATACAGGAGAAAACTGATGAGGGTGAGCAAGAGTCTGGATAAAAACTGGCATATTTTTAGGTGTTAAGATGCAAAACTTAAAATGTGATCATATTTAACAAAAACCTCTAATCTACTTCAGATCAACTCATATGATTGGGATTAGGCTCCCGCCTTATCTCTCCAAACTTGAAACAAGTATGGAAAAAACATCAGATTAAAAAAGCAGTGGCTTGGAGCGCCTGGGTGGCTCAGTTGGTTAAGCGTCTGACTTTGGCTCAGGTCATGATCTCATGGTTCATGAGTTCAAGTCCCATGTCGCACTTTGTGCTGACAGCTCAGAGGCCAGAGCCTGCTTCACATTCTGCGTTTCCCTCTCTCTCTGCTGCTTCCCCACTCACACTCTGTTTCTCTTTCTCAAAAATAAATATTTACAAAATTTTAATAAGTAGTGGCTTTAATACAGTCTTACAGTTTTGATAGTTTCTTACAAAGTTGAACATAAATTTACCATATAACTGAGCAATTTCACTTGTGTATTTCAACCCAAAGGAAATGAAAATACGTGCACAACGATTTGTATGCAAATATTCATAGTAGTGCTATTCATAAGTCAAAGATTGATAATAATCCAAATGTCCACCAACTGATGAATGTATATATAAAACATGGTATATCCATTACAACAGAATGCCATCGAGCAAGAAAGAGGAATGAAGTACAGGTACACGCCACAACATGGAAGGACTTCAAAAACAGCGTGCTAGGTGAAAGAAGCCCGATGGCTGATGCAAACATCACACATTGTATGAGTCTAGTTATATGAAACGTTGAGAAAAGGAAAATCTATAGAGACAGAAAGGAGATTAATGTTTGCCTGGGGCTGAAGGTGAGAAAGGAAAGTAACTGCAAATAGGTGCAAGAGACCTTTTTGGAATGTCAGAAATGTTCTAAAATTGGATTATGGTCACGGTTGCATAATTTGATAAATATACTACACTTAAAATGAGTGAATCTTGGGGCGCCTGGGTGGCGCAGTCAGTTAAGCGTCCGACTTCAGCCAGGTCACGATCTCACGGTCTGTGGGTTCGAGCCCCGCGTCAGGCTCTGGGCTGATGGCTCGGAGCCTGGAGGCTGTTTCTGATTCTGTGTCTCCCTCTCTCTCTGCCCCTCCCCCGTTCATGCTCTGTCTCTCTCTGTCCCAAAAATAAATAAAAAACGTTGAAAAAAAAAAATTAAAAAAAAAAAAATGAGTGAATCTTATGGTATGTCAATATCTCAATAGAGCTGTTTTAAAAAATAATCCAGTAAAGTGAATAATGTAACATGTACGCCTCAGTGATTTTTATCATGTGTATACACCCATGTAACCAGCACCCAGATCAAGATATAAAGCTTTTTTTTAGCACTCCAGAAAGTTTTCTTATACCCTTTTCTAACCATAATTCATCACGCCCTCCACAACAGGGGTTACCACTAATCGATTTATCTAGTCTATACTGAAATGTCAGTGTTTCTTTTGCTCAACATGTTTGTGAGAATCATCCAAATTGATTCTGATTTCAGCAGTTTATTCTTTTGTATTGCCGTGGAGTATTCCATTATAGAAAAATATACCATAGAATATATTTCTATGGTATAGAAATATACCATAATTTGTTTATAAATTCTTCTGTTAGAGAACATTTAGGCTGTTTCCACTTTGGAGCTATTATGAATAAAGCTGCTATGAACATTATTTTAGATGTCTGTTGGCAGACATATGCACTCATTTTTCTTGGGTATATAGCTAAGAGTACAAATGCTGATTCAAAGAGGAAGCAAATGTTTAGCTTGGATAGAAACTGCCATAAAATTTTCCAAAGTGGTTAAAAAAATTCTATTCCTACTAACAATGTCTAAAAGTTCCAGGTGTCACACATCCTCACCAACAGCTGGTATTGTTAGTCTATTTAATTTTAGCCATTGTGCTAAAATGACATCGTGTGCCTTGCCTAGGGGTACCCTGGCATGATTTCAATTTGCATTTCCTCGATTAAGAATGAAATCGAACACATTTTCATATATTTACTGACCATTTGGATATCTTCTTTGGTGAAGTACCTGTTCAAGGTTTTTGTCCGTTTTTAATAGGTATGTCTTTTTCTTGTTACTTTATAGAAGTTCTTTATTCAGAATACAAATCTTTTATCAGATACATGTATTACAAATATGGTTCCCCAAAATGTGGCTTGTCTTTTCCCTCTCTTAATTGTGACTTGATTTACAAGAGTCTGTAATTTTAATGAAGTCCAATTTATCATTATTTTCTTTCATAGTGATTTTTTTGTTTGCTTGTTTGCTTTGTTTTTTTAGAGAGAGAGAGAGACAGAGAGAGTGGAGGAGAGGAGCAGAGGGAGAGAGGGAGAGAGAGAGAGAGAGAGAGAGAGAGAATATTAAGCAGGCTTCACACTAAGCACGGAGGCTCAATCCCATGACCCCAGGATCATGACCTGAGCTGAAATCAAGAGTCAGAGGCTCAACCAACTGAGTCACCCAGACGCCCCTCATAGTTAGTGTTTTTTAAATGTCCTGTTTACGAAATCTTTGCCAAGATCATGAAAATAAGTTTTTTTCCTAAAAGTGTTATTATACTACCTTTCACAATTGAGTCTTTGATCACTGACCAATTAATTTTTGTATATGGCATCAAAGTTCATTTCCTTAAATTCTTATAAAGATACCCACTCGATACAGCACTGTTTATTGATAAAACTATCCTTTCCCACAGAATTGCAGTGGCATCATCGCCATCAGTCAAGTAACTATATTACACACAAGTCTGTTTCTGGACTCTATGGTGTTCTATTGTTCCATTTTGTCCTTGGGAAATGCTATTGTCTTAATTACTAAAACTTTATAGTAATCTTGAGCTAGGGAACATTTGAATGCACAATTTGTTGTAGAGCTTTGTGAGCTGTTCTTTGTAAGAGAGGCAAATGCCAAGAATGTGTAAGAGAGGCGAATGCAAAAGCACTGCATGTCATCATGTACCTATTTTGAAGAAGATAATCTCCTCAATTGGCGAAATAAAAACGTGAGTATTTTTTCACCACATAAGGCTTACAGACTCTACATGATCCCTTATGTTAACTGAAGGAACCTGTTGAACTCCAAAATGAAAGTGCCTTACCTGAGTAAGGTAAATGGTATCTTTGAATGTCTGTAATGGATCTGTGTTTTTTGGGAGTTTGAAATGAAATCCAATCTGAAGCAGCATTTCATTATTTCCACCTGCATGATGTTGTCGATGAAGTGAAAATTCGCTGTTGTAAGACCAGTCCTTTTCAGATGAAACCTTTGGAGCAGAGGATAAGAGGTACAAATTGGGAAGTTAGGAGTGAAACAACATTTCTGACAAACTTGAAAAGTATTCTACATACTGGAAAAGAGCTCAAGGTTTGTTCTGCGACTCTAATTTCACAGATGTGAGATGTTTTTGCCATCATCCTTATTATTGGTGAAAGACTAGCCCTGTGCAAAGCTGAATCACAAATCCAGGACTTGGCATCTACACAGTCCTCTTACTCAAACCTTTAGAAAGTTACACTTTGGCATTTCTGTCAAAAGTCTTGTCTTCTCAAAACATTATTCCTGTTTTTAAAACATTTATTATGTTTAGTTTTCAATGGCATTTTATTTATTTTTTATTTTTTTATTTTATTTTTTTATTTTTTTTTCAACGTTTTTTTAATTTATTTTTGGGACAGAGAGAGACAGAGCATGAACGGGGGAGGGGCAGAGAGAGAGGGAGACACAGAATCGGAAACAGGCTCCCGGCTCTGAGCCATCCGCCCAGAGCCCGACGCGGGGCTCGAACTCACGGACTGCGAGATCGTGACCTGGCTGAAGTCGGACGCTTAACCGACTGCGCCACCCAGGCGCCCCTATTTTTTATTTTTTTAATGTTTATTTATTTTTGAGACAGAGAGAGATAGAGCATGAATGGGGGAGGGTCAGAGAGAGGGAGACACAGAATCTGAAGCAGGCTCCAGGCTCTGAGCTGTCAGCACAGAGCCCGACGCGGGGCTTGAACTCACGGACCGTGAGATCATGACCTGAGCCAAAGTCGGGCACTTAACCGACTGAGCCACCCAGGCGCCCCAATGGCATTTTATTTATTCAGGTAAATAAATTGTCAAAATTGAACAACGGACTGAAATCAGCATTCTGTTAAAACTGTCAATTCTTTAACAAAAATAAAATATCACTGCTGCGATGGTAAATGCTTTGCAGTCACTTGTTTGTTTCTCAGTGACTAGTAAATATATTTGATCTATACATGTGTTTAATTTTTATATAGTTGAAGACACAAGCCAAACAATGATATTCTTTTCCCCTAATAATAATTTTTTTTTAACTAGGCACAATTTATACTATTTATTCCTTCATCTCTTGGAGAAGCTATCATCAAGTCAAAGTAAAAAACAAAAACAAATACCATGCATATGTTAATACTGTACCTTTTACAGAAAAATAGACCATAATTCTGACTTTGGGGCCTATGATTTAATGCTCTGTTAGCATCTGAGAAGGATAGAAGACAATTGTTGCCTACATTTGAAGACATCAGTTTTAATCCAAGTTACACAGAAACTTTGAAAAAAATAGTCTACCCCACCCTCAAAAATCCTTGAAAATTAAAAATCTTGGGGCGCCTGGGTGGCTCAGTCGGTTGAGCGTCCGACTTCGGTTCAGGTCATGATCTCACAGTTTGTGAGTTCGAGTCCCGCATCACGCTCTGTGCTGACCACTTGCTCGGAGCCTGGAGCCTGCTTCAGATTCTGTGTCTCCTTCTCTCTCTGCCTCTCCCCCGCTCATGCTTTGTCTCACTCTGTTTCTCAAAAATAAATCAATGTAAAAAAAAAATTAAAAAAAATAAAAAATAAAAATCTTATCCCTGTTCACAAAATATGACTTTTAATTCCCTATAATCATGCAATGCACGACCAGTCACCTTCAAGGAAAAACATTCTTTAGGAATTTATTTATACTAAAATGTAAGTAGTATACATTAGCCATGTTTAAAGTGGAAGTTTTTCCAAATTATTATTTTTTATTATTATGTCTATTTTTCAAAACTATTACCACCAGTTTAGAGAACGCTAATTGCTTCAGTTTCTTAAAATACAGGTATTAGTATTTACAGTCATCTTGTACACATTTGAGACGTACACACCTTTACCAGCCTTCCCCTGCTTTCAATGTTTCTTCCTTTCAAAAGCCTAAAACACACCTTCAGGCTTCTCAGCCCTATGATGGGTAATGATTTGAATGTATCCCACAATTGGTAAACCTGATCTGTTATGCAGAAAGCTTTCTAACTTGTAACAGCCACGGTTTGAGAGTCTTACACATTTCAGCTCTAACAATGTTATCAAAAGGAATTAGAAAGTGCCAGGTAGGGCTCTAATTGTTTTAAGAATATCGATTCATTTAGGGGCAGCTGGGTGGTTCAGTTGGTTAAGCATCTGACTGTTGATTTCAGCTCAGGTCATGATCTCACAGTTTGTGAGTTCGCGCCCCGCATCGGGCTCCTTGCTAACAGCACAGGGCCTGCTTAGGATTCTGTCTCTCTCTCTCTCTCTCTCTCTCTCTCTCTCTCTGACCTTCCCCTGCTCTCTCTCGCTCTTTGTCTCAAAATAAATAAACTTAGAAAAAAAAAGAATATTAACTCATTTAATCCTCATAACAATCTATGAGTTGGTATTATTATCGCTCTGTTTTAGAGATGAGGCTCAGAAAGGTTCAGTGATTTGCCCAAGTTCCTAAGTTACTTGGCATAGTCCAGCTCCAGCTTCTAGTTCTTTAAACCTAGATGGCTCTGGAGAAAATAAAACTTTCATACAAATCCTATGGCTAGAATGGATTATATCAATACTAACAACAGCTTACACTTTATGGCCTGTTGCTATGTGACAGGAACTGCTGCTAAGTGCTTCAATGTATAAATTAACTTAATCTTTACATGTGATCACATGCACACACGAGTACCTGCATGTAGAAACACACACAAACACATACACACACATTCTTTTTCTCTCTCTCTCTTCCCCCAACCCTCCCCTAAGAGGTATTTTAACTACTATTAAACCCAATTTACAGATGAAGACACTAAAATTCAAAATGATTAACCAATTTGTCCAAGGCAATACAGCTAGTGAGTGGCAGTTCTTAGTATTCAAATCCAGATCTGTTTATTCCATAGCCCAAGCTTTTAATCACTGTGCAATGTTGATAATGGCCTGTTGAAAACATAATTATTTTACAAAGAAATGATGCATCCCAAACTAGAAAGGGACATTTTAATTTTTTGTTAAATATATGAAAAAACTCTAAATAAAAGAACCTAAGCTTTATGTAAAGTTACTCTTTTGGTTTCCTTTATTTTCCCAATTACCCAATTCAACCTCAACTGAGCAATGTAACTCAAAAAGAGGTAATAACTAAATCAAGGATTCATAATGAACAGAACTTATAGAACTTGGCTTCACCTTTTCCTATTTTAAAACATAGTGTTTAGTATCTTTGAACAACATCAGGCATTTCACAAAAACACAGCAATTGCATTATTGTCAGGACATAAATAGAAATGTTAACAGATTTAAGAAAAAGGTTTAGCAATTCATAACACTCACCTTCCTGAAATGTAGTGAAAGGAAAATGGATCAGCTCTGGTGTTAGATAATAAGTCTGAATCCACATATGCTACTTGCTGTCTGGGGATAATGATGGAACTCTCACCCTCTAGTACCTTCATTTCCTTCTTGGTCTCAAAGTGGGGGTGTGGGGGAGATTATTGTTAAACGAAACAATGAGTCTCTGGTACAGAGCATCTGCTCAGTAAATATTTTTGCCTCTTTCATTCCTTCCTTCCTTTTCTTTTTTTTTTTTTTTTTTTTTTTAATTTTTTTTTTTTCAACGTTTATTTATTTTGGGGACAGAGAGAGACAGGAGTACGAACGGGGGAGGGGCAGAGAGATGAGACACAGAATCGAAAATAGGCTCCAGGCCCGAGCCAGCCATCAGCCTAGAGCCTCGGACAAGCAAGTTCGACAAATCATGAAAGATCGCGGAATCTGGTTGAAGTCGACGCGCGAATCACTGCTGGCGCCACCAGGCGCTTCCTCTCTTCCTTCCTTTTCTAATACTTGTTCCTACCTGACTCAGGACACTCAACTCCATCCTCCTTCATTTTGAAACAAGAGTATTCATTCCCCCAAAGTCTACCCCATAATATAGGAGTAATAAAAAAAAAGGGTAGATCTAAGGTGATAACATTATTTATTACAATTAAAAATACAACGTAACCTCAATGTGTAGAAGCAAATATAGTTAGGTTTAAGTGGCAAAACTGAGGGAGATTTTGAAATTGTCTTAAAATTTTGGGGGGTTACTTGACACAAGTGATAGGTGAGGGGAAACAAAAACTACAGGCACATGATTATTTCAGTAAATGAAGAAAGAACACACTTGACAAAATCCAACACCATTTTTTTAAAAAATAATTTTTTTAACATTTACTTATTTTTGAGAGACAGAGATGGATCATGAGTGGGGAGGGGCAGAGAGAGAGGGAGACACAGAGACACAAATCTGAAGAGGCTCCAGGCTCTGAGCTGTCAGCACAGAGCCCGACGCAGGGCTCAAACCGACAAACCATGAGACCATGACCTGAGCCTAAGTCAGATACTTAACTGACTGAGCCACCCAGATGCCCCACCAATACCCTTTTATGATACAAGCACTCAACCAACTAGGAATAAAAGAGAACTTGCTCAACCTGAAAAAAGGCATCTACAAAAAACTTAGAGTTAACATCTTACTAAACAGTAAAAGACTCAAAGCTTTCTCTCTAAGATAAGCAATGAGACAAAGATGTCTGTTCTCACCATTTCTATTCTACGTTGTACTAGAGGTTCTAGCCAGGGCAATTAGTCAAGAAAAGTTAATAAATGGCATCCATACTGGAAAGGAGGAAGTAGAACTAATTCTATCCACAGATGCTCTTATACACAGAAAACTCTAAAGGATTCACAAAAACTAAAGATAATAAGTTCTGCAAGGTTGCAGAATGTAAGTTCAATATAAAAAATCAATTGTCTCTTTATATACCAGTAATGAACAATTTGAAAATAAATTAAGAAAATAATTCCATTTACAGAAAGAATAAAACACTTAGGAATAAATTGAACTAAAGAAGCATACACTTTGTACACTGAAACTATAAAATTATGAAAGAAGACATTACATGTTTGTGGATCAGACTTCATATTGTTAGGATGGCAATACTTTGCAAACTGACCTACTGACTCAACACAAACCCTATCAAAATCCCAGCTGACTTTTTTGCAGAAACTGGGAAGGTGATCCTAAAATTGGTATGTCAGTGGAGGGCACTCAGAACAGCCAAAACAATCTTTAAAAGAAGAACAAAGTTGGTGGACTCACACTTCCTGCTTTCGAAACTTACTACAAAGCTACAGTAAGGATGACAGTGCGTACTGGCATAAAAGAGACAGTTCAATTAGAAACAAATTGAGAATCCAGAAATAAACCTTAAAAGTTATGGTTAATTGATTTTGACAAAGGGGTCAAGACAAGCAATGGAGGAAAGAATAATGTTTTCAATAAATGGTGTTTGGATATTTGGATATCCACATGCAGAAAAAAATGAACCTGGATGCCTACCTCATACCACATAGAATAATTAACTCAAAACAGATCACAGATCTAAATGTAAGAGCTAAAACCAGAAGACAACACGGGAATATAACTTTGTGATCTTAGATTAGAAAATGGTTTCTTAGGGGTGCCTGGGTGGCTCAGTTGGTTAAGCCTCCGACTTTGGCTCAGGTCATGTTTTCATAGTTCGTGGGTTCAAGCCCCACGTTGCACTGTGTGCGGACAGCTCAGAGCCTGGAGCTGCTTCGAATTCTGGGTCTCCCTCTCTCTGCTCCTCCCCTGCTTGCACTCTGTCTGTCTCTCTCTAAGAAATAAATAAACATTTTAAAAACCTAGAAAGGAAGAAAAATACCAAAAGCACAAGAGATAACAGGGAAGATTGGTAAGTATTTTGGATAACTTGAAAATTTAAAACTTTTGTGTCTTAAATGAAACCATCAAATAAGTAAAAAGAACATCTACAAATTAAGAGAAAATATTTGCAAATCATAGATCTGATATAAAACATACCAATTAAAAAATCAGCAAAGGATGTGAATAGACACTTCTTTAAGGAAAATATACAAATGGCCAACAAGCACATGAAAAGAGGCTCAACATCATTAGCTCTCAAGGAAATGCAAATTTCCTGTAAATGCAAATTTCCAGGGAAATGTGAAAAAGGGGGGGGGATAAGTGCTGGTAAAGATGTAGAGAAATTGGAACCTTCATACATTTTCTGGTGGGAATGTAAAATGGCACAGCCATTGCAAACTATGGGAAACAGTTTGGCAATTCCTCAGAATGTTAGACAGTTACCACATGACTGGGCAATCCACTCCTTAGGTATATACTTAATAGAATTGAAAACATATGTTCACCAAAAAAAATGTATACAAATGTTCACAGCAGCATTATTCATAATAGCCAAAAAAGTGGGAATAACACAAATGTACATCAACTGATGAATGGATAAACATGTGGTATATCCATACGATGGAATATTATTCAGCAATAAAAAAGAATAAAAACTAATACATGCTACAACATGGATGAATCTGGAAAACTTTATGATGAGGGAAAGAAGCCAGCCTACAAAGATAACATATTTTATGATTCCAAAATATGAAATGTGAAAAACAGGCAAACAAATTAGACAAACAAAGCAGACTAGTGGTGCCTAGAGCAGGGCAGGAGGGACTGAGAGAGTGGGGAGTGACTACTAATGGGAACAGAGTTTCTTTGGGGTGATGAAAATGCTCCAAAACTAGGTCGTGGTGATGCTTGCACAACTCTGTGAATATACTGAAAATCATTAAAGCATATACTTTAAATGGGTGCGTTGTATGGTCAGTGAATTATATCTCAATAAAATTGTTCAAAAAAGAATACACACAACTCTGAAATTGAATCCATTTGTGCAACTGAATCTGTAGGAATAAGGAAAGTGAAAATCAAATACAGCAACATGAAATAAAAAGAGGAGGAAGTGGAGAAGGAAATAGAAGAGGTAGAAGAGGAGATGAAAGAAAAGAAATAATATGATCTGATAACATTAAATGAAAGTTTATTTATCATATTATTTTTTCTTACTGTAGCAAACCATCCAATTCTGAATAGCTATAAATGATAAAACAGGTGTAGGCTAGGGGTGCCTGGGTGGCTCAGCTGGTTAAGCATCTGACTCTCAATTTCAGGTCAGGTCATGATCTCATGGTCCATGAGATCGAGCCCCACGTGAGAATCCCCCCTGCTTGGGATTCTCTCTCTCCCCCTCTCTGCCCCTTCTCACAGACACACGTGTGCTCATGCTCTCTCTCTTTCTCTCTCTCTCTCTCTCTCTCAAAATAAGTAAATAAGCTTTAAAAAAAACAGTTGTAGGATGTAGGGAAAATAGCAAGTAAGAGTTACTTTCATGCATGATAAGAAGTCAGGCTTAAGCAACCCCTGGTTCCCATTTAATTTTTAAGTGTCTGTGAAGGAACCTAATTAAAAGCAATATAGAAAAGTATTAACCCCCAAAATGATGACTGCAAGAAATTTAGCTTCCCAAAGTATAAACAAACAAAAGTTCTATGATCTTCCTTTCATTTAAATAAGAAGTAGATTTTGGGGCGCCTGGGTGGCGCAGTCGGTTAAGCGTCCGACTTCAGCCAGGTCACGATCTCGAGGTCCGGGAGTTCGAGCCCCGCGTCAGGCTCTGGGTTGATGGCTCAGAGCCTGGAGCCTGTTTCCGATTCTGTGTCTCCCTCTCTCTCTGCCCCTCCCCCGTTCATGCTCTGTCTCTCTCTGTCCCAAAAATAAATAAACGTTGAAAAAAAAATTAAAAAAAAAAAAAAATAAATAAATAAGAAGTAGATTTCATTTGACTTTCTGAACCACTGTTGAGAAAGTGACATAGGCCCACAGCCTACCATTTTGAATCATTGGGAAACCAAAAGTGGCTTACCTTTTCTAATGTACTGAAGGAAGGCCAGGACTGATATCCATATTCAGATACAAATCGAGCTTTGGGGAAAATTTTCCAATTCCAGCAATCATTGCTATAGTCATAAAAATGTACGTCACCAAAATTCTTGTCATAGGGGTTGGCAGACAGCCAGCCTTCTTCAATAGATTCGGCCCCATTTGTAGGACTGGATATGATAAAAGGACGAGTCTTGTCTCTCTGAGTTCAGAAATAAAATGGTTTAAAAGGCATATTCACTCAGTAAAATACAAACCATTTACCTTTTTAAATTAAGTTTTTATTTTAATTCCAACATAGTTAACATACAGTGTAAAATTAGTTTCAGGTGTAAACTCTAGTGATGCAACACTTCATTCAACACCACCCAGTGTTCATCATGACAAGTGCACTCCTTAATCCTATCACTAGTTCATCCATCACCCCACACCCACCTCCCCTCTGGTAACCATCAGTTTGTTCTCTATAGTTAAGAGTCTGTTTCTTGGTTTCTCTCTCTCTCTATCTTTCTCTTTTTTTCCTTTACTCATTTTTTTTTTTGGTATTTTTGTTTTTGTAAACTCCACATAAATGTGAGATCATATGGTATTTGTCTTTCCCTAACTGATTTATTTCACTTAGCATTATACTCTCTAGATCTAGCCACATTGTTGCAAATAGCAAGATTGCATTCTTTCTTATAGCTGAGTAATATTCCATTAACAATGGAATATTATGTACACACACACACACACACACACCATCTTCTTTACCCACTCATCTATTGCTGGACATTTGGGCTGCTTCCATAATTTGGCTATTGTAAATAATGCTGCTATAAACACAGGGATGCATGTATCCCTTTGAATTAGTATTTTTGTAATTTGGGGGCAAATATCCAGTAGTGTGATTACTAGATCCTAGGGTAGTTCTATTTTTAGCTTTTTGAGGAAACTCCATACTGTTTTCTATAGTGGCTGCACCAGTTTGCATTCCCAACAACAGTAGGCAAGGGTTCCCTTTTCTTCACATCCTCACCAACACTTTTAGTCATTCTGACAAGAAGGAGATGATGTCTCCTTGTAGGTTTGATTTGCATTTCCCTAATGATGAGTGATGTTCAGCATCTTTTCCTACGTCTGGCCATCTGTATGTCTTCTTTGGAGAAATGTCTGTTTGTGTCAGACCATTTATTTTTTAAAAAAATATTGTCAACTCTCCGAAATGCCAAGTGGCTGATAGGAAAAAAAAAGAACCATTTGCCTTCTGCATTCAACAACCACCAGCACCTTTCTGCTATTCACCAATCCTTTATATCCTGTCATTAGTAAAACTCAGCTTATTCCTCAGCACCTTCTCCTAATCTTTTCCCATCATGTCATGCCTTTACATTACCTTCTACCAACATGGGTAGTACAAAGTCTAGTGCAGAATTTCTCAACTTTGGCAACACTGAAATTTTGGGCTTGATAAGTTTTGGAAAGGGGGCAGGAGGGGAGTGAATGTTTAGCAGCATCCCTGCCCTTCTCCTACTAGATGCCAGTCGTACCCCTACACACACCAAAAAATGTCTACAGACATTGCCAAATGTTCCCCTGTCCCTTGCAGGACAAAATTTCCTCCACTTAAGAAACACAGGTATAGTGCTTAAGAATAAGAGGCTAAGTTGCAGGATACAAAATTAGTACCCAGAAATCAGTAGTGTTTCTATACACTAATAAAATGGCAGAAAAAGAAATTTAAAAACAATACCATTTACAATTACACCAAAAAAAAGAATAAAATACCTAGGTATAAACTTAACCAAAGAGGTGAACAATCTCTTCTCTGAAAACTATAAAACACTGGTGAAAAAAACTGGAGATGACCCAAACACATAGAAAGATATTCATGCTCGTGGATTGGAAGAATCAGTATTATTTAAATGTCCATACTACTTAAACCAATCCACAGATTCAATGCATCCCTATCAAAATACCAATAGCATTTCTTACAAAACTAGAACAAATAATACTACAATTTGTATGTAACCACAGAAGATCCCCAAACAGCCAAAGACACCTTGAAAAAGAAAAACAAGGCTTGGAGGTTATAAAAATTTAACTCAAGATACACTACAAAGCTGTAGTAATCAAAATAGTATGGTACTGACATAAAAATCAATACATAGCTCAGTGGAACAGAATAGAGAGCCCAGGAATAAACCCACAACTATACAGTCAATTAATATGACAAAAGAGGCAAGAATATGCAGTGGGAAAAAGACAGTCTCCTTAATAAACGGTACTGGGAAAACTGGACAGCTATATGCCAAAGAATTAAACTGTACCACCTTTTAACACAATAAACAAAAATAGACTCAAAATGAATTAAATACCTAAATGTGAGGGCTGAAATCATAAAAATCCTAAAAACCATAAAAAACACAGGCAGTAATTTCTCCGACATTAGACATAGCAACATTTTTCTAGATATGTCCCCTCAGGCAAGAAGAACAAAAGCAAAAATAAACTATTTGGAGGACATCAAAAAAAAAAAGCTTTTGCACAGCAAAGGAAGCCATCAACAAAATAAGAAGACAACTTACTGAATGGGAGAAGATACTTTCAAATGATATATCTGATAAGGGGATATATATAAATGTATATCCAAAATATATAAAGAACATATACAACTCAACACCAAAAAAACCAAATAATCCAATTAAAAAATGGGCAGAGGACTTGGACAGACATTTTTCCAAAAAAGACATACAGATGGCCAATGAACACATGAAAACATTCTCAACATCACTCATCATAATGGAAATGCAACTTAAAACTAAAATGAAATATCATTTTACACCTATCAGAATGGATAAAATCAAAAAGATAAGAAACAAGTGTTGACAAGGATATGGGAAAAAAGGTAACCTTTGCATACTGCTGGTAGGAATGTAAATTGGTGCAGCCACAGTGGAAAACAGTATGGAAGTGCTTTGAAAAACTAAATATAGAAATACCATATAATCCAATAAGTCTACTACTGGGTATCTACTACCCAAAGAAAAGGATCACACTAATTCAAAAAGATATGTGTGCCTCTGTGTTTATTGCAGCATTATTTACAACAACCAATATATTGAAGCAATCTAAGTGTCCATCAATGGACAAATGGATAAGGAAGATGTCAGATCTATACCTATATCTATATCTATATCTATATCTATATCTATATAGTGGAATCTTTCACAGCCAAAAAAAGATGAAATTGTGTCATTTGAGATGGACCCAGAGGGCATTATGGATGGATGCACCTAGAGGGTATTATGGTAGGTGAAATAAGTCAGACTGAGAAACACAAAATAATATATGATTTTATTCATAGTGGAATCTAAAACAAAAACAAATGAATAAACAAAAAGCAGAATCAGACCTATAAATACACAAAACAAACTGATGGTTGCCAGAAGGGGTCGGGTCAGCAGTTGGGCAAAATGGGAGAAGGGGAGCGGGAGATACAAGTTCCTGGAATGAACAGGTCATGGGAATAAAAGGAACAGCAGGAGAAAAAAAAAGAAAAGAATAGAGGCCATTGAGTCAGATGGACTGAGTTTAAATATCATATCAGAACCTTATTATTTTTGGACAGGTCTAAGCCTCAATAGACTTATCTGCAAAATGGGGATAATAACTACTTCTTCATAGGACCACAGTAAATGGTAAATAACCCATGTGTGGAAGATATGGCTAAATGTCCACCAAAATTCATGTTCCCATTTCCATAATACAGAGCTGTTCCTAGGAAGTGGTTTCCTAACCAATTTGCACCACTATGGGGCCACATGCCTCATTCGCTTCCTCTTGGAATTATAAGCTCTCAACCACTGAGCTGCGAAATGAAAATCCTCAAATATTAAAATCCATTTCTTAAATCCATCAGATATGAAAAATGTAATACCAACACTATGAGAAAAAAGATTATAAAATAAATGTTCTATAAATATTAATTAAAGCTTATACCATCACCATTTGTGGATAAAAAAATTCTTCATGACACATGACTTAGCATATCAGATAAGCTAAAAAAATGTGAACCTAAGTTTTTCATGAATTCTCACTGAAGTTTCTTCACATAAATGAAGAGTTTCATGAACTGAACATATTTGGGTGCCAAAATCACATACTATTCTTTTAAATATGTCCCTTTTTATGTTGGTTCAAGAGATACCCAAATATTTAAAATATCTAATTATAGATCAAAAAATTATAAAGACAATCAGATTACTAAATCACATATTAAACATTAAAGCTTTTAAAAGTTTCATCTTTTGAAGTTACATTACTATAAAAAATAAAGTGCTACTTCCTCTCCCTGCAAAAAAAAAAAGCTAATTTATATTATTATATAATGTTTATGCATGTAGTAAATACAAGTATAATATGCCTACTAGAAAGCAGTAATGCAAAAAGAACCACCGTAAGGAAGGGCTCTACAGTGAAGTTGGGAACAAGCTCTTTCCTCTCCCTTTTCCCTTATTTCACCTATGAACATATTCATATATGATATATATCAAGTTCTGTTTTAGCATTTATAATTATAGAATTTTAAATGACACTTTAGACCAGATGGACTTAACAGATAAACACAGTACATACCATCCAAAAGCAACAGAATACACATTCTTCTCAGGTGCACATTGAATGTTCTCCAATATAGATCATATGTCAGGCCACAAAACAAATCTTAACAAATTTGAGAAGACTGAACTCACATCAGGCAGATATTTGGACCCCAAGGGTATGAAACTAGAAATCAATTATAAGAAGAAAGCTGGAAAATTGACAAATATGTGATGATTAAGGAATATGCCACAGAACAATAAATGAATCAACAAGGACATCAAAAGAGAAATTAAAACATACCTTGAGACAAATGAAAATGGAAATACAACATACCAAAAATTATGAGATGCAGGAAAAGCAGTTTAAGAGGAAAGATCAGAGAGATAAATGACCATTTCAAGAAACAAAAAAACAAAAATTTGGGGCGCCTGGGTGGCGCAGTCGGTTAAGCGTCCGACTTCAGCCAGGTCACGATCTCGCGGTCCGTGAGTTCGAGCCCCGCGTCGGGCTCTGGGCTGATGGCTCAGAGCCTGGAGCCTGTTTCTGATTCTGTGTCTCCCTCTCTCTCTGCCCCTCCCCCGTTCATGCTCTGTCTCTCTCTGTCCCAAAAAAATAAACGTTAAAAAAAAAACACAAAAATTTCAAATAAAGAAAGAATCTAACTTTACACCTTAATAAACTAGAAAAAGAACAAATGTTGCCCAAAGTTAGTAGAAGGAAGGATATAACAAAGATCAAAGGAGAAACAAATGAAATAGAGACTAAAAAGACAATAGAAAAGATCAATGAAACCAAGAACTGGTTCTTTAAAAAAGATAAACAACGAGCGCCTGGGTGGCTCAGTCAGTTGAATGTCCAACCTCAGCCCAGGTCATGATCTTGCAGTTCACGAGTTCGAGCCCCACATCAGGCTCTGTGCTGACAGCTCAGAACCTGGAACCTGCTTTGGATTCTGTCTCTCTCTCTCTCTCTCTCTCTCTCTCTCTCTCTCTCTCTGTGCCCCTCCCCCACTCACACATTGTGTTTCTCTCTCACTCAAAAAAACCCAAAAAACAAAAACATTAAAATAAATACATTAATTAATTAATTAATTAATTTTTAAAAAGACAAACAAAATGGCAGAACTTTAGCTAGACTTGCTGAGAAAAAAAAGAGAAACGACTCAAAATCAGAAATGAAAAAGATGTTAAAACTGATACCTCAGAAACACAAAGGATCGTAAGAGACTACTGTGAACAACTATACACCAACAAATTGGACAATCTAGGAGAAATGGATAAATTCCTAAAAACATACAACCTTCCAAAATGGGATCATGAAGAAACAGAAAACATGAACAGGCCAATTAACTAGCAAGGAGATTGAACCAATAATCAAAAACCTCCCAACAAACAACAGTCCAGGACCACACATCTTCACTGGTGAATTCTACCAAACATTCAAAGAAGAATTAATACCAATCTTTCTGAAACTTTTCCAAAAAACAAAAGAGGAGGGAAAACTTCCAAACTCATTTTACAAGGCAAGCATTATCTTGATACCAAAACCAAATAGAGTCACCACAAGAAAATTACAGGCCAATATCCTTGATGAACATAGATGCAAAAATTCTCAACAAAATATTAACAAAGAAACTCATATACGTAAAAAAAAATTATATATCACGATCAAAAGGAATTTATTCTAGGGATACAAAGACAGTTCAACATCTACAAATCAATCAAGATAATACACCACATCTTGTATCATTAATAAAATGAAGGATAAAAATCATGAACAGGATGCCTGGGTGGCTCAGTTGGTTAAGGGTCTGACTCTTGATCTCAGCTCAGGTCTTGATCTCAGGGGTCATGAGTTCAAGCCACACATTGGCTTCCTTGATGGGTGTGGAGCCTACTTTTAAAAAATCATATTAGGGGCGCCTGGGTGGCTCAGTCGGTTAAGCGTCCGACTTCAGCTCAGGTCATGATCTCGCGGTCCATGAGTTCGAGCCCCACGTCGGGCTCTGTGCTGATGGCTCAGAGCCTGGAGCCTGCTTCAGATTCTGTGTCTCCCTCTCTCTCTGACCCTCCCCCATTCATGCTCTGTCTCTCAAGTAAATAAACGTTAAAAAAAAATTAAAAAATCATATTATCATGTCAACAAATGCAGAAAGAGCATTTGACAAAATTCAACATCCATTTATTACAAAAAGTCTCAACAAAGTAACTACAGAGGGAACATACCTCCACATAATAAAGGCCATATATGACAAGCCCATAGCTAACATCATACCCAATGGTGAAAAACTCAAAACTTTTCCTTCTAAAATCAGGAACAAGACCAGGATGCCCACTCTCACCATTTTTGTTCAACATAGTACTGGAAGTCCTACTCAGAGCAATTACACAAGAGAAAGAAACAGAAGGTATCTTAATTGTAAAGGAAAAAGTGAAGCTGGCACTGTTTGCAGATGACATGATATTATATGTAGAAAATTCTAAAGACTTCACAAAAAACTGTTAGAATAAATGAATTCAGTAAAATTTCAGGACACAATATCAATACACAGACATCTATTGCATTTCTGTACACTAATAATTAACTATTAGAAAGAGAAATTAAGAAAACCATCTTATTCACCACTGCATCAAAAAGAATAAAATATCTAGGAATAAATTTAACCAAGGAAGTGAAAAACTGAAATTATTATTGAAAATTATAAGACACTGAAGAAGACACAAGTAAATGGAAATATATTCTGTGCTCATGGATTAGAAGAACTGATATTGCTAAACTGTCCATACTATTTAAACCTATCTACAGATTCAATGCAATCCCTATCAAAACTGCAGTGAAACAGAATGAATAATCCAAAAATTTTTAGGAAACCACAAAAGACCCAGAATAGTCAAAGCAATCTTGAGAAAGAAGAACAAAGCTGGAGACATCATGCTTTCTGACTTCAAAATACATTATAAAGCAAAATTAAAACATTATGGTATTGTCATAAAAATAGACACATAGATCAATAGAATAGAACAGAGAACCCAGAAATTAAATTCATATATGCATGGTCAATTAATTTATGACAAAGGAGATAAGAATATACAATGGGGAAAGGACAGTCTCTTCAATAAATGGTGTTAGAAAAATTGGACAGTCCCAGGCAAGAGAATGAAACTGAACAACTCTCTTCAATCATGCACAAAAATCAATGCAAAATGGATTAAAGACTTGAATGTAAGATCTGAAATCATAAAACTCCTAGAAGAAAACACAGGTGGTAAGCTCCTTGACATTGGTCTTGGCTTTGATTCTTTGGATTTGACACCAAAACAAAGGCAACAAAAATAAACAAGTGGGACTACATCAAACTAAAAAGGTTCTGCACAGCAAAAAAGACCATCAATAAAATGAAAAAGCAAAATACTGAATGGGAGGAAATATTTCCAAATCATACACCTGCTAACAGGTTAATATCCAAAATACATTAAAGCACTCATACAATTCAATAGCAAAAACCAAACAATTCAACTAAAATATGAGTCGAGGATCTAAACAAACATTTTTCCAAAAACATACAGATAGCCAATAAGTACATGAAAAGGTGCTTAACTAATCATCACAGAAATGCAAATCAAAACCACAATGAGGGATCACTCACACCTGTGAGGATGGCTATCATCAAAAAGATAAGAAGGGTGCTTGGATGGCTCAGTCCATTGAGCATCTGGCTCTTGATTCCAGCTCAGGTCATGACCCCAAGTGGTGGGATCAAACCCCATGTTGGCCTCTGCACCGAGTTTGGAGCCTGCTTGGGATTCTCTCTCTTCCTCCCTTTGCTCCTTTCCCCCAGCTCGTGCTATGTCTCTAATAAAAAAAAAAAAAATGCTGGAGCACCTGGGTGGCCCAGTCAGTTAAGTAACCAACTCTTAGTTTCAGCTCAGGTCATGATCTCACAGCTTTGTGGGTTCAAGCCCTGCATCAGGCTGTATGCTGGCAGCACAGAGCCTGCTTGGTATTCTCTCTCTCCCTCTCTCTCTCTGCCCCTCCCCCACTTGTGCTGTCTCTGTCTCTCTCAAAATAAATAAATAAGCTTTAAGAAAAAATTCTCAATATAAATGAGACCCAACATCCATTTTCCTATTACCACAGTCCCCTCTTCTCTCTGTGAGCCTCATCTACTCTACTTATTTTTTTTTTAAACAAATTTGGCTCCTCTAGGCATTTGAGTTTACAATTCTTACCACAGACCATATTTTGCTCATGAATATAAATTTTTAAAGTCTAACTAAAATATTAGCAAACCAAATCTAACACAGAATACAAGAACAAGAAGTTGTAACTAAACAGAGCTTATACTAGAACTAGTTTATTATTAGAAAATTAATTCCCAGAATTCACCATATTAATATATTGAGGAACAAAGAGAAAGAAAGAAAAAAAGAAGTGGCATATCAGTAAACCATCTAAAGTAGAAATTCTCAACCTTTGGGGTTCCATGGATGGGCTCCAGAAAGAGTCTATGATAATCTGCAAGTATAAACACAATATTGGTGTATGTGTGGTGAGTTCCATAGATAAGTTAATTCCTAAAGACGTCCATAACCCACGAGCCCATTCACATGCTGCAGCATTATAATCCATTCACATGCAGCTCTGTATTAAAATGATAATGTTGAAGGTTGCCCTAAAAAAGGACACAAAAGTATACTATACCAATATTCAAACCGATCCACTTTCAAAAGAGTTTCTTAAATTCTACTGCATGAAAAATCATTACTTACTGCCAAAACAATCTGTCGAATATTTTTCACATACAGAACCACATAGTCATTGATGTAGGTATGCAGCTCACTGGTGTGTATATTAAACCAATTCATCATCAGCGCTGCTTCATTTTCATTATTTCCACCCCATATGATGATGGAAGGATGAGATTTCAGTCTCCTGATCTAAAATTTCAAAAAACATAAAATAATTTTCAAATGACCAATACGAAAAAAAAAAAAAACCTCAGAGTTATAATTATTCACAAAAGTATAGCCATTGCATTTCTGCACATAAATTCTTATGTGTCAGAAAACTCATTAGAAAATGGCTTGTAACATTACCTGTAGGGATACATTTTAAGCAATCTCTGATTCTTTTTGCCTAGATTTTATAAACACCAATAAGATAGGGTTCTTCTCCTCTATTGTATAAAAACTGAAGAAAACATAGTCCCTTTTATTAAAAAAGAAAAATAAATCAAGCTCATCATTATCTGACTTGCCACAAAAAGGTTCTAAGAAATACAAAAGGCAGGAGACATTATATTACAGAGGAGTTTCTCAAGAACAAGTTGGAGTTTTGTGTGAAGAAACAAATGAGGTAGAATGACCACTTCTGCTGAAAGAGGGATTGAGGTTGTCACAGTCTCCCCTGAATTCAGAAAACCACAAAGACAACGAGAGAGGGTTTCACAAAGCAAGTGAGTCCCAGAGATATTCCATAACTTAAAGACAAATATATGGAATATTCCAACGGAAAAAGGATTTGGGCATCAAGAGGATAGCTCCAGAAATAACTATCAATGTCATGCCCTGAGAAATCAACTAAGGTTATGCAAGTTACCGAATATATCCAAACACAGAGGAAGAAATCAGCAATCTATCTGAAAATCCTGCCAGCCTTAAGAATTGAACCTGCATGAACTGGGCTCTCTGTGGACCAGCCCTACATAAAGGTGGAAGGATCCAGTTCTTCTGACACACTAGAAGATGGACTCCAGCAAAAGAAGGTAATGAAATCTCTTTGACAGCGGAGTGAGTCAATGATCAAGAGAAATTCCTTTGGAACTCATTTTAGCAATATAACCTCATTGGTATTTATAACTTCTCTTCCATGTAACACATGGTTACAGTGATGGATCCCAGCTGATGTTCTCCGTGTGGCCTCTATTCAAGATGCTAAGTATCTCCTATATGAAGCAGAGATGCATTAAGGATGCATTAAAGAGATTTATCTCATTCTCAAAAACTACAGTCTTGTGTTTTTCTCAACTAGCCTTATAAATACTATTTCCTTTATTTGCCTTTGCGCATCCCCAGGAAGTGAGGGCTGCTACCAACTATGAATGGCATGTTTATGGTGCTACTGAAAACACAAATACTGAAGAGGCAAAAAGCTGCAGTGACTCTGTGCTACACATACCCTTCAAGCTGACCTAGAATTTTGTGGCAAGCTCTACTTTAAAATTTTAACGAACTCTGCAAAAAAATGTTCTCCTTCTCTTTAATAATACATAAAAGAACAGAAGGCACACTGATATCATATTTTATTTATTTGTATGAAAAAAGTTTAAAAAACTGAAATGTTTGCAACCTACATAACTATAATTAATATTTCTAAAGTTCATTCATCCATCTATCTATGTTCCTGATAAATAACCCAGCTAGTGGGGATACACAGAGGAACAAGCCCCTGGGCCTCAGGGAGACTACAGTCTTGCAGGGAAAACAAAACATTGAACAAGTAATTCAAAGTGTGATATATGTCACAAAGGGCAAATGATATGATCCAGACTTGCAAATATAGAAAGGCTTTCTTCCCAGAGAAAGTCATGCTCAAGTGTGCCAGAAAAAATTGAGAGGTCCACAGGGAGAAAGTACTCCAGAGCAAGGATGGCACAGGAAGAGAATGTTTAATGGGGCCAGGAGGCCGGCAGAGACAGGATAGGGCATGATGAGGATCTTTATCTGGAGGGCTCGGAGCAAGGGATGATTCATTTGTACTTTCTAAATCTTTTTCTAAAAAAATAAAACACAGACATAAAAAAAAATTATGACACAGTGAATTATTATAAGGCAATCAGCCTTGTAATCACAAGGTAGACCAAGAAAGAGAAACCCAGAAGCCCTCATGCACCCCTTATATTTATTTTTTTAAGTTTATTTATTTATTTTGAGAGCGAGAGAGAGGGAAGGAGAGAGAGTGAGCACAAGTGGGGGAGGGGCAGAGAGAAGGAGAGACAGAATCCCAAGAAGGCTCTGTGCCATCACCATCAGTGCAGAGTCCGAGGTGGGACTCGAACCCAGGAACCATGAGATCATGACCTGGGCTGAGATCAAGAGTCAGACACTTAACCGACTGAGCCACCCAGGCACCCCCCTCATGCGCCCCTTTTAATTACAATGCTTTCCTCCTTCCAACAGTAACCACTATCTTGAGTATTGTACTAATCACTTCCTTGTGTTTCTTTTGGTTTTCCACACAAATGTACATCCACAGACATTATAATGATGAAATCATGGAATTTAACATACTTGATGGATTTCAATCCACTGACGTCCTTATCCTTATTGAGCTCAAATTGTACTGCTATTGGTTGGTGATAGCCTTGTCCAAGTTCTTTTTGACATATCTTTGATAGTTTCCTTGTTATCTTATGTCAAAATATTCTGGGATTATCTAGTATATTTGCTGTCTCAGATCCGGAATCAGCCATTTCTCTAAGAAGCACTTTTCTTTTCTTCCTGGACCCTTGGGGTTCAAAGTCCTTTGGCTTCAACACTACTTTGTTTGAGAGATGAGGGAAGTTTGGATCCCCCTACTTCTCTACCATGTTGGCCCCTCCCCCAAAGCCCTTCTCTTAATAGGAAAAATTATTTCAATAAAAGGATACTCAGTATTATTAGGTTGTTCATTGTTTCTAGTCCTTTTCAGTGGACAGAGTTACATTACAATCACTTCCTTGCACTTACAGATCTATAAATATAGGTGTATACATATGGAATGCAGAAGAAATCAAGGAGTCAAGAATCACTTTAACTTTTTGACCTGAGACTTGCGAAGACCGGCTTTGCCATTTATTGAGGTGAGGAAAACTGCAGGAAAAGCAGGTTTGGAGAAGGTAATGCAAATTTGGTTTGGACATGTTACATTTGAGAGGACTCTGAAACCTACAAGTAGAGGTGCCAAGCAGGCAGCTGGATAGAAGAACCAGGAATTCAAGCAGAGAAGTCAGAGCTGGGGATAAATCTGAGTGTTAGCAGCATGTAAGTGATGTTAAAGCTATTAGACCAGGGAAGTCAATTATATGATTGTGATTTTCATGGGATTTAGTAAAGAGAACAACAACCAAAAAAGAAAGAAAAGGAAAAAGAAAAGAACAGAAAAGAAAAGAAAAGAAAAGAAAAGAAAAGAAAAGAAAAAGAAAAAACGAAGAGAGTTTTAATAAAAAGCAAAATGAAACATAAGCATTTTCCTTCTGCTTGGAATGGTAATAGCATACCTGGTGAGCAACTTCTGTTCTCACTGAATCCAGGAAGCCCTGATCAGTCGGATAAAGAGCACAGGCAAACATAAAATCCTGCCATACCTATCAAATAAAATAAAAGGCAATGAAGCACTTCCATAGATTTTATTACACTGAAAGAAATTCTTCATTTAGAACTTTGGGAATTATCCTTCAGGAAAATGAAAAGTCAAGTTAGCCTGATGAGTGGGATCATTTGAGCAATACTGCGATTCAAGCAGTGGGAAAGGCTCTCATAGACCGCACGACCTTCCAGAATTGCACAAAACTGGGGGGGTGGGAATCTGAGAGGAGAAAGTGTTAAGTAGGGAGAAAAGAAAGTGAAGAGAGGGGTATTCAACTCAGGAAACAGTGAGCGTGTTGAGAGGAATATGAAATTCAAAAAAGAACCTCCCCCCTGCCCCTCCACACTGCAATACTCTAATTTTCACTGGGAATTTGATATCGAGAGATGGACCAGACTGTTAAGAAACAGTCTTTGTTTATACAGGAATTAACTTTTCATGGCCAAAAGGATTGCTACATGGACATTTTCATAACGAAACCACGTAAGTTCATTTCTAGGGAGGTTGTTATGACGCAGTGGTTAAAAGCACAGGCCCCAAACCAGTCAACCTGAGTCACAACCTTGATTTCAGGTTATTTAACCTCTCCTCCACGTGTCAGTTTCCTTATCGTTTGTTGGGGATGGAGAACAAGAGAAATTACTTCGTAGGATAGACATGAATATGAAATAAAATAATAAATGCAGAGCCCTGAGAACAATGCTTGACATTCAATAAATATGATAGAATATTGCCATATTATGACCATCAGTATTATCAATATTATTATAATTACTATTCCTCTCTGGAGTGCTTTCTATGTTAGACCTGTAATACTAGAACTAAAAGAATGCATTTCCTTTGCTTAACCCTCACCAATGCAAAACATCCTTGGGATACTTAAATACAATATGAAACATAGCTTTTCTTCATTTATTATTTTTCTTCTCTATAGGTCTTGCTGGATCTCCTTAAAGTAAAACATTTTAATGGATTTAATCATACCCTCATATCACAAAGACAATTACAAATATATAAATATATAGAATGTCTACCACTTAAAAATAATTACATAATTATGATATTCGCCATCAGCTATGGTTCAGGTCTTGCAAGATGCCATTTATTCCTCTACAAAAAGTGGAATATCATTTCCAGCTCTGAGAAAAGAAGGAACGAGCAATATCACCCACTTAGAACACAGGAGGTCCAAGTGAGGATACAGTAACATATCAACCAATAAAATGCTGTCAGCTACCCACCATTATTCCCAGTTCATCACAGAGTCGATAGAATTCATCTTGCTCATATATTCCTCCTCCCCAAACCCGGAGAGTATTCATGTTAGCATCCACAGCAGACTGCAAAAGGAGCCGTAGCCTATAGAAGAAATTTTAAAAAACAAATGTTAATTTGGAAATCTGGGGGTGTTAAAAAAAATACTTTAAAAAACACATCCTGGTTGATAAATACATTTCAAACCTCTGTTAGAAAAACACATTTTGAAATTTTGATGGTTTGGATACAGTGCTAAGTGGAGAAAGTGGAAATTATATACACATTAACTGTAACCACATAAGCAAATCTAGAAAAATTATGGGCTATACCTTTTCTCTGCCTTCTAAATTCACAGTTATTATTATACTGTTTTTAAAATAGTTGTAAAACCTTAGAAAGTATGAGCTAATTTTATATAACCATTGCAAATTATAAGACAAAAATCAAATTTTGCATATTAGTTCCTGGCATGACTTTTTTTTTAAGGTTATTTATTTTGAGAGAGAACACAAGCAGGGAAGGGAGAGAGGTGGGGGGGGGGGGGGGGGGGGGGGGGGTGTGGAGAGGGAATCCCAAGCAGACTCTGTGCTGTCAGAGTGGGGCTCCATCTCACAAACCATGAGATCATGACCTGAGCCAAAACCAACAGTCGGACGCCCAAACGAGCCACCCAGGCATCCCAGTACCTAGCTTACTTTTATCTCTTTTTTTCAATTCTTCCAGTCCATATCTTCCTCAACTTATGATGGGATTATATCCCAATTAGCCCATCATAAATTGAAAGTATTGTTAATTAGAAAATGAATTCAATACACCTTAACCTATTGAACATCCTGGCTTAGCCTAACCTACCTTAGATGTGCTCAGAACACGTACATTAGCCTACAGTTGGGCAAAATCATCTAACACATAGACTAGTTTATAATAAAGTACTAAATATCTCCTGTAATTTACTGAATACTATAGTGAACATGAAAAACCAATGGTTACATGGGAACAGAAGGATCGTGAGTGTATCGGTTGATCACCCTCAGTGTCATGTGGCTGACTGGGAGCTGAGGCCACCACCACGGCCCAGGATCATGAGAGATTACTGTTCGACAGATCACTTGCCCAGGAATAGATCAAAATTTAAAATTCAAAGTATAATTTCTACTGAATGTGTATTACTCTTACACCATGGTAAAGTCAAAAAATCATGCTGAACCATCATAAGTAGGGCACCTGCTATGCTTCTTTCTCTAGTAAGTTTCCTTTCTCATCTTTCCAATTCCTATTCACATGACCCACAGGGAAATCTAGCAATTAACAGCTACTTTAAGAACATCTACCTGCATTTCCAGAACAGAGCCCAGGGAGGAACCAAGAAGCCCAATAACTGGCTGACCAAGGACCCAGAGCATTGTGCTTCAGCAAAGGCATCCATGGGCAGGTTCACTAATTGGCGTAGCTATGGTGAACAGCCACTGCCAAAGCCAGCTAGGAGAGGAACTTTGAAAAGCAAAAGAGGCAGTAAATTATCTGTGTCTATGTCTGGAGAATAATTTCACTTTCATATGAAATTCAAGACGATATACACAGTTCATTTTTGTTTGTTTGCTTGTTTTAATTCTTTTTTAAGTTTATACTTAAATTCCAGTTAGGTAACATACAGTGTAATATTAGTTTCAGGAGTAGAATTTTGTGATTCATCACTTAATACAACACCCAGTGCTCATCACAAGTGCCCTCTTTAATACCCATCACCCATTTAACCCATCTCCCACCCACTTCCCTCCATCAACCCTCAGTTTGTTCTCTATAGTTAAGAGTCTGTTTTAGGCTTTGCCTCTTTTTTCCCCTCCACTTTCATCCGTTTTGTTTCTCAAACTCCACATATGCATGAAATCATACAGTATTGTCTCTGACTGACTTATTTTGCTTAGCAAAATATACTCTAGTTCCATCCATGTCATTTCAACTGGCAAGACTTCATTCTTTTTATGGCTCCTTAATATTCGATTATATATATATATATATATATATATATATATATATATATATGTACACATACACACACACACACACACACACACACACCCCACTTCTTTATCCATTCATCAGTCCATAGACATTGGAGCTCTTTCCGTTATTTGGCTATTGTCGATAGTGCTGCCATAAACATTGGGGTGCATGTTTCCCCTTCGAATCAGTATTTTTGTATCCTTTGGGTAAATACCTAGTAGTGCAACTGCTGGGTCATAGGGTAGTTCTAGTTTTAACTTTTTGAGGAACCTCAACACTGTTTTCCAGAGTGGCTGCACCAGTTTGCATTCCTACCAGCAGTGTAAGAGGGTTCCCGTCTCTCTGCATCATCACCAACACTTGTTGTTTCCCATGTTCTTAATTTTAGCCATTCTGACTGGTGTGAGGTAATATCTCATCGTAGTTTTGATTTGTATTTCCCTGATGATGAGTGACTTTGAGCATTTTTTCATGTGTCTGTTGGCCATCTGTATGTCTTCTTTGAAAAAGTGTCTATTCACGTCTTCTGCCCATTTCTTAACTGGATTATTTGTTTTTTCGGTGTTGAGTATGAGGAGTTGAGTTTGATAGCAGATTTTGGATACTAACCCTTTATCAGCTATCTCATGTGCAAATATCTTCTCCAATTCCAAAGGTTGCCTTTTAGTTTTGCTGATTGTTTCCTTCACTGTGCAGAAATTTCTTATATTGATGAAGTCACAATAGTTCATTTTTGCTTTTGTTTCCCTTTCCTCCAGAGATGTGTCTAGTAAGAAGTTACTATGGCCGAGGTCAAAGAGGTTGCTGCCTGACTTCTCTAGGATTTTAATGGTTTCTTGTCTCACATTTAGGTCTTTCATCCATTTTGAATTTATTTATTTTTGTGTGTGCTATGTCCAGTTTCATTCTTTTGTATATTGCTGTCCAGTTTTCTCAACATTATTGGTTGAAGGGACTGTCTTTTTTCCGTTGGATATTCTTTCTTACTTTGTCGAGGATTAGTTGATCATACAGTCGTGAGTCCATTTCTGGGCTTTCTTTTTCTTTTTTCTTTTTGTATACATTTTTATTGAAATTCTAGTTAGTTGACATACAGTGTCTTGTTAGTTTCAGGTTTATGATATAGTGATTCAGCACTTAAGTACAATACCCTGGGGCTCCTGGGTGGCTCAGTCAGCTAAACATCTGACTTCAGGTCAGGTCATGATCTCACATTTCTTGATTTCAAAAATAAATAAACATTAAAAAAATTTTTTTTAATTATAAAAAAAGTACAACACCCTGTGCCCATCACAAGTGCCCTCTCTAATACCCATCAACTATTTAATCCGTGAGTCCACCCACCTCTCCTCTGGTAACCAACCATCAGTTTGTTCTCTAGAGTTGAGAGTCTGATTCTAGGTTTGCCTTTCTCTATCTTTTTATTTTTTATTTTTTTGTTTCAAGTTTTTATTTAAACTCTAGTTGGCTAACATATAAAAGAATATTGGTTTCAGTAATAGAATTTAGTGATTCATCACTTATATATAGCACCAGTGCTCATCCCAAAAAGTGCCCTCCTTAACATCCCTCATCCATCCAGCCCATCCTCCTCCCCTCCAGCAACCCTCAGTTTGTTCTCTATAGTTAAGAGTCTGTCTTACAGTTTGCCTCTCTCTCTCTCTCTTTTTTTTACACAGTTTAAAGTAAAAGCAAATTACTACAATTTTTGGCAAATTCTAAACACCGAATAATATGCTACAATGCATACGTATCCATATGTAAGTAAGTTAAATGTGTTTATTCTCACTTCACAAAGTTCATTTTTACTATCACAAAGCTTATAATCACAATCAGGAAATATTTTCTTGTAAAGTGCTATTCTCAAAGCTTCAGATAAACACTTTACTTTTTTTTTCTAGATTTAAATTTGTAAAGTTTTTAACGTTCTTTTTATTAAGGTAAAAGTAAAAGAATATGCAAAGAGCTCAGAATGAAGAGGTAAATATGGGTTTCCATTTTTTAAAAAGAATGCACAGAAATATTTAAGGTTTTTGTTTTTTTAAAAAAAGCCAAATTTAATCATTTTTTTTCCAGGAACTAACTATCCAAAATGTGCACGAGACACTTTCTTGTTCCTCCAAAGGAAATATATAATAGTTTTTTAAAAATTGGATGGTTTCAGCAGTCTCTAGTAGTTTAGCTGTTAAGACTATCTATAGCTCATGAGAGTTGAATATATGATTTAAAAATCCTTTCCATTCTAAAGTTTCCACCATCCCAGAATTCTGTCTTTTCTCTGAGTTCCTTTCACTGGAACCAAAGAAAGTAAAAAATGAGTAACTCTTTAGCTTTGTGGGACCATTAATAAAAAGAAAAAGAAGAAACAAAAAAACAATAACTTACAAGTCAGAGGTTACTCGATCCTGGAACGAATCTGCTGGGATCCAGTTTGAGCCTTTCAGAAATATGGGCAATCCATTAATTTTGAAGTAGAAACTCAGACCTTGAGACCCTTCAATGGACTCTTCTATAAGTTCCACTGTCCTAAAATAAACCTATTATGAACAAAATTAAATACTCAATATCAAATTGAAAACATAAGCAAAAGAGGATTTTGGAGGGTTTTTTATGTTGATTTTATTCTTGAGAGAAAGAGAGAGAGTGGGAGCAGGGGAGGGGCACAGAGAGAGGGAGACACAGAATCTGAAGGAGGCTCCAGGCTCTGAGTTGTCAGCACAGAGCCTGACGCTGGGCTTGAACTCACCAATCATGAGATCATGACCTGAGCTGAAGCTGGATGCTTAACCCACTGAGCTACACAGGAGCCCCAAAAGAGATTTTTTTTTGAAAAGGAAAGCAAACTTTTGAACAATTTACATGAAAATAATTTACTGTTAATTTCCTATTTGCTACGAGGCACTTAATGTGGAAATGCACATTTCAGAAAAAAAATATATAATATATATAATAAATTATCACCAGATTCTGTAAATCTTTTAATAGAAAAAATATAGAAACTATTAAAGAGGAAATACATTCTAGTCTTCCTCATGAAATAAGCATTTGTAATTATATCAAAAGAAATATAAACAAAAACATATTTCACAAAAATGGGGGAGGAAATCCCACCAGTTAAACTGATGCATCTTTGATTGAAAAACATTCTCAAGCACCTGAGCGTCTGACTTCGGCTCAGGTCATGATCTCGTGGTTCATGGGTTCGAGCCCCACATGGGGCCCACTGCTGTCAGCACAGGGCCCGCTTTAGATCTTCTGTCCCCCTCTCTCTCTGCCCCTTCCCTGCTTGTGTGCTCTCTCTCAAAAATAATAAATAAATCTTTAAAAAAATGTTTTAAAAAAGAAAGAAAAACACATTCTCATTTCAGTGTTGTTAAAGTGTGTCCAAATGTGCATCTTAGAATCAAAGACATTCAGCACAAGGTATTTCACAATTTAACAACTTTCCAATCTTAATGGCACATTAGTGCACATTAGTAGTGATTTGTTAAAGGGCAATGTAATTGTAACTAATTATCACATTAAACCCAATGTTTGAGAGAGCTCTGGAGATGCGCAGTTCCAACCAGAAGACGGAACAGGAACACACCCTGCAATGTTATAATTGCAATGTGAGAGGAAGCTGAGACCTTTGTCCCTGTGACACTTTAGCCAGGTTTTCCCATAGTTAAGCTGGAGCAGTAATACCGTAGATAGGGAAGGTTGATGTTCTCATCCAAATCTTCATTCCTTCCAGTCATAAACTGGATCAAGGAATGAGGAACTTGATTCTACACCAACAAAGTCTAGCCTTGAACCAAGATTGTGTATTTCCTCTCTAATTTTAATTAATTAATTAATTTCATGAAATAAAAGTGCCCACCATTCTTCCACTTTCTTACCCTTGCCATTATTAATATGACATGACAAAGTGATGAGTTAACTTTATGAGAAGACATAGAATAAGTCTTGGCTGAGGAAGATCTTGATGTGGAATTACCAATACCTGCTTTAGGGTTGCAAAATGTAAAAAGTGTACAATGATTTTCACAGATAACTTTTAACATAGATCCAAACATCTAGAACTGTAGTTCTTTACATGTGGCCAGGGACAAGGGGATCCCTGGGCATCTTGCAGGGGGTCCTTGTGTTCAAAACGATCTTCATAGTAAACCTAAAACATCATTTGCCTTTTTCACTGTCACTCTCTTTTGACTGTATGATGGAATTTTCCAGAAGCTATATGTGTGTGATGACATCATCACTCTGTTGGTCAATGGAATGCATGCTTGCATACTCTGGTGTGTTCTAATTCTACAGTAGAGGTCTAGTATATAAAGTGTGTTTTGGGGTGCCTGGGTGGCTCAGTTAGTTAAGCATCCAACTCTTGATTTCGGCTCAGGTCATGATCTCACGGTTCATGGGATCCAGCCCTGCCTCCAGCTCCACAGTGACAGCACATAGCCTGCTTGGGATTCTCTTTCTCCCTTTCTCTCTGTCCCTTCCCCCTTCATGCGTGCACACGCACATGCTCTATCTCTCTCAAAATAAATAAAAAAACTTAAAAAATAAAACTCATTTTAAAAATTAAAAAAAATAAAAAGATGTGTTTTCAGAGATTAACTCCATTTGTTCTCAGCTTCTACTGTGTTATTAGTAGTGGTGTCTGGTTATTTCTACTATAATCTCTGTAACCTACTGTCGTTCAATAAATTCTTCTTTTGAATCTCAAAGTTTCCCTTGCAAGCTACACGGAAATGCAAAAGGATTAGGTACCTTTTTAAAATTTATTTCACAGTGGTATTTTAAAATTTTCAAATGAAAATAAATTTTAATTGAAACTCATTTTAGAGTTCAATGTTTTATTTTATTCTAAAAAATTATTTATAATACACTTTTTCTTAAGGATGAATTGAGATTAGACAGGAGAGTCTCTTTTTGTTGTGCCCTAAAATGTGCAGATAGCACAACCAGAAGTTAACAGATTAAAGTTTACACCAGCAGAGCTATTTGGTATTTTTGTAACCAGAGGTGTATTTACTGTAACTGATAGAAGACAGAAACACATTTTTTTTAATGTTTATTTATTTTGAGAGAGAGAAAGAGAGACAGTATGAATAGGGGAGGGGCAGAGAGAGAGAGAGAGAGAGAATCCTAAGTAGGCTCTGCATTGTCAGTGCAGAGCCCCACGTGGGGCTCAAACTCATGAACCATGAGATCGTGACCTGAGCCAAAATGAAGAGTTGGACACCCAGGCACCCCAACAGAAACACTTTTGAACAACCCTCCTCTTCTATATGACAAAATGATTTTCAGTAATAATAACGAAATGAAATAGTGATAATATCCAAAACAGAAATGCAGATACTAAAAGTTTTCTTTTATTTAATTTTACATGAACAATCATGCCATTTTTAAATAAAATAAATATTAGAGTATAAAAAAGGAAAAGTAATGGATTCATGTATTTGATTATGTTAATGTGTTTTTAAAAAGTAAATAACGTATCTGTATATTGGTTCATTATAGAAATGAATAATATTTGCCATTTTGAGTCTTAACTTCTAAACATGTCAAGAACTTTGTCGAAATTGATCTTCTTTGTATGTATATGTTTTATAAAGACTATAGCCAGATTTGTCAATCTATCCTTGCATAGTTGATAGAAAAACACCTTTTATAATTTAATTTAGAAATGTGTTTTCTTTTTTTAATTTTTAAATTATTACTATTTTTTTTATTTGAGAGAGAGAGAGAGCACAAGTGGGGGAGAGGGGCAGAGGAAGAGAGAGAAAGAGAGAGAGAGAGAGAGAGAGAGAGAGAGAGAGAGAGAGAGAAAGAGAATTTTAAGCAGTCTCCACACTTGGTGTGGAGCCCAAAACAGGTCTCAATTCCAAAACTCTGGGATCATGAACTGAGCCAATATCAAGAGTCAGATGCTCAGCCAACTGAGCCACCCAAGCACCCCTAGAAACATGTTTTTTCAAATGAAGCCCAAAATATACAAATATTTTGGGAAAGTATTAGACATAAAGGCAAGTTTGACAGAGATTCATAAAAGTTCCACTTCTCATTAAATTCCAAAAAATGCAGTAGTACCCATGCCTTTGTTTATTTAGATCCTCTCAAAGTGTTTACAAATGCTTCTGGAGTGAAAAATTTCCACTTCCCAAGTATGTCTTCTGAAAGTAACAGAATTAGAGAGAATGGCTGAATGATAGTGAACACAGACATTATTTGATCCATGGCTTTAGAACAACTGTCCAGTTCTTGGTGAAAATGATTGGGCTAGGGGCACCTGGGTGGCTCAGTCCGTTAAGGGTCTGACTTCAGCTCATCTCGCAGTTCGTGAGCTCAAGCCCCACGTCAGGCTCTGTGCTGACAGCTCAGAGCCTGGAGCCTGCTTCAGATTCTGTGTCTCCCTCTCTCTGCCCCTCCCCTGCTCGCTCGCTCTCTCTCTCTCTCTCCCTCTTTCTCTCAAAAATAAACATTAAAAAAATTTTTTAAAAGAAAAGAAAATGATTGGGCTATTCAACATTGTTATTTTGCTTTGTAAGACTAGAATCTTTTGTTGTTTCTCTTGACACTCTTCTTCAGAATTTGATTTTTTTTTCTATGTAAATGTTCATTTCCTTGCATTTTTTTTGTTGCATAGTAAATAGGCTTTGCCTTTCTGTGCACTCCAAAGAAAAGTTTGAAAGCTTGGTATTTCACTGTACATTGTTCAAGGCAGATTCTGGCTATCTGAAAATATGTTTGTATCTGATTAACCTCATCTAAACTTCTATACGGGGGTGGGGGGGTGGGGGGTGGAGATGACTGAAAAGGGAAAAACTGCGGTAGCCAAGAACATAATCTGAGCTGATTCTCATTTGTCCACATTTCTTTGTGTCACACAGTACTTCCAAGTTGAGATCAACTTTTCAAAATTTACTGTGCCCTAGCTTCATAATGAGCATTCCATCTTGTCTAGGAAAGACTTTCTGTAGCTTTTTCCAACAATGAGGTGAGATTAAAAAGAATGAGCAAAATTTTTCCAAAGTTCCAGAAAACATCACACATGAAGAAATCTTTCCAAAAAAAGAAAATTCCACAAGGTTGAAAGAATGATTTCCAGAAGACAGAAATAAGATCTGAGATCAATCTATTTGATTTTTGTATGAATTCCGCTGTGAATACTGGCCAGATATGCAGCACTCTTATTTTGCTGACCACAACAGAGGTTTATGAAACAACCATCCAGTTGTTTCAAGATACCTTCTGTGAGTTCAGCTGCAGTCTTTCCAGAAATAGAAGAAGGACTTCTTTACTTCAACTCTTACCACCTTTTACACAGCAAATCTGATTACCTGACATATTTAATTTCTATGAAACATCTGAAGTGCTATCAACAAAGAAATCCAAGGTATGTGGGGTTTTTGTTTAATATCTGCCACAACTAAAGCCACCACTGGTGTCATGTTTCACTTTGATTCTTTCTTTAATTTTAAAACAATTAACAACAAATCAAGAATTTCAATTCCAGAGACATTAAGATTAGTAAAATATTTCATATATG